GAAAACTATATATTAAAAAAATATATATTAAAAATATAGGTTATCATTATTATTTTAGTATAAAAATAAAAAATAATTATTAATAAAATAACAAATTTTAATATAAAGCAATAATGTTAATTTTACTAATTTTTTTTTCAATTTCTGATAATATAGTATAGGGGTGTGTATACTTTATTATTAAAATTAAATACTATAATAATTAATTAATTAAGTTTATAAGTGTTTTTTATTATTTTTAATTTAAATATTATTTAAAAACAAATTTAATTTTTTATGCATAATTTTTAAAAATATTAAGTTTAATTTTAAATTTTATTATTATTTAAATTTAATTTAATATTTAATTTAATATACTTTATATTAAATTTTTTTATTATCTTATTAAAAACAAAAAATATTTAAAATATATTAATTTAATTATTTAAATATATTTAAATTTCAAATATAAATAATAAATATAGTAATGATTAGAAATAATGCAATAATATCAAAATTTATTAATTAAAATACTGGATTTTTTTATATAAAAGTTTTTAATTTTACTATAAATATTTATTATTTTTATATTAAAATAAAAATAATATTATATAATTAATATATATTTTTTATATTTTTTAAATTATTTTTTTATAATTAAAATATATAAAAAATAATTAGTTTTATATACAATTAGAATAGCTTTATTAGATTAATTTTAAATAATTTGAAAAAATATATATTAAAATATATAATATTATCTTTATTTAATATAAAAATAAAAAATATTTATTAGTAAAATTAAAAATCTTTATATAAAAAGAAAAATTCATATTTTATTATATTTAATTAATAAATATTCGATTTTGTTGTATTATCTCTGATTGCTATTGTAAATCTTTAAAAATAGTAAAAAAAATAATGATAAAATAACAAAAATAACTTAATATTATTTATTTATTTATATATTTATATATCTATTTATTATTAATAATTAATATATAAATATTTTTTAATTTATTTTGTACTTTTTTTACTTTTATCTATTATTTTTTATTTTTTATTTATCTTACTATATCTACTTATTTATTTATTCTGCTATATTTATTTTGTTATATTTATACTTTATTTACTCTATTATATTTATTCTATTATATTTACTTTTTTTATTTATTTTACTTTATTAATTATTTTATATTTACAATTATAAATTATTTATTATTATTATATTTATAATATAAATACTATACTATATTAATAAGTTAGAACTAAATAATCTTTTCTTAATATATAATAAATAAGAAATGAATAGTTTTTCTTAGTATACTTCAGATTTGATAGTTGTGCTTTAACAATTCATAATGATTATTTGTTATTTTGTATTGTTTTATATTGATTTTGTATTAATTTTATATTAATTTGTTATATTTTATCTTGATTTTATAATTTTGTTTCATTATAATAATGCTAAAAGCACTAGAAAATGATAATATAAGTATTGAAATATTAATATTATTCTTTCTTTTATAATTTCTTTCATAAATACATATTTATCTGACTTTTTCTTTATAATTTCTTTATTTCTCTCTTATATACTTTATTTCTATAATTATTTCTTTAGTTATTGGATTCTTTTTTCTATTTGATATAGGCATAGGACTTAAATATTTCTCTTTCTTTTTAATATTTTGTTTATTTGTCTAATTCTCTTTTCCTACACAGGTTCAAGTTTGCTAATTTCACAATTAGTAAAAAAATCTATAATACTAGATCTTTCTAAAGATATCAAAATCATTTAATTGATCCATTGGATGTGAAGATATTTGCAAAAAATAATTTTAAATAGTTTGTATGTTGTTTTTGAGATGCAACATCTCTGCATTTAGTAATCCAAATTCAATAATTTGGGTACTATTAGATGCATATTGACTAGATCATATCTAATGGTATCAAAATTATTTAATTTGGTTCACTAGATGTGGAGATATTTGCATTTTTTAAACTGAATTTTTTTCTTCACCTTTCATTGCCAGGTTCGAAGTTTACCGCAATTCTGCTAGTATTTCGAATTCCTGATGAATTTCACGCTATTTTATTGGTTATCCAGACCAGAGATATATACTTATATATATCCAGCCAGAGATGTATAGAAAAACCGATCCACTGTAGGCGGAAAATTTATACAATGTACTTATTTTCTTTTAAAGTATAGGTAAACTCAATAACGATAACGATAATGATTACATCATTTAAAACTGTCGCATTTAATCAAAGTACAGTGGGTACTGGTTACAATAACGTGAGCGAGAAAGCGATTTTGTGTTAGTATAACGAAATGTTATCTTAAATCTGTTACTGTAACGAACGCTCACTGTATCAGTAAACCAATACCCGAACCGATATTACCGATACCGATCGTTGATTATTCGATCCATTTGGTTCGAATAATCTTAATGGAATTACCTTTAGCAATCAGTCAGTAACGAACCATTCGGAGCCTAGACTAAATTAAAATTGTAAGTTTGTTACAGGGGAGGGGGATTGTGGCACTTTATGTGGCGAAATATGACATTATTTTTAAAAAAAATAATATATGATTATGTATTTTAGATAAAAGTCTTTTTGGCATCCTCGTACACAGTGAAACTCAAGATCCGAGATAACGGAGGATAATAAAATTCTTCTCTATTTAACGGATTTCTTAGTTGAAATTTGATATAACGGATGATTCCGTTATATCGCATTTCAAGAATAAGAATGCAAATTTTTTTGATCAACTCAGCAAAACAAGAAAATAAAAATGTGAAAAATGTCAAAATCTGGCTTGAAACACTAATAAAAAATGTCGGGAAGACAATTTTACATATAACCTTATAACCAAATGATAAAATAGCTTTTACGTTAAATTTTTGTGATCACGTGAGCCTGAAGTTTTGTTGCCGACGGATACAGTTACCATGTATCACGTGATTAGTCGACTAGTCGGGGTGTGAGATATTTGAGATACAATAATAAATTTTGTTAATAGATTTTTATATTCTACGTAAATTCTTATAAAGTTTCTATGAAATCTTTTTTATTATTATTGATAATAAATTATTTTGATCAGCTTCTTAAAAATGGTCAAATGGTCGAATTTAACTACGTAGATAAAAACTGGTTAAATCAAATGTATGGTTTGTGTAAACTACGACGCAGATACTACATGTACTTGGCTTACCGTTACGTTTTTGATACTGTGTACTTGATGCATCCCAAATTTGATACATGCCGTAGTAACGTCGCATTTTTCGAATGCCCGGAATTTCCGTGCCATTCTATGACTGCATTTCTACCTTATGTGCTACTTCTTTGCAACAATCTCTCAACCTTCTTTTACTAGATACATGTATAAACCTTTTTTCTTTTAAATGCGATTGTGTAGTTACCTGTACGACGTTGCATTTATGGAAGAATTTGAATGAATTTTAAAAATATTGAAATTGGTACTAATCAAACCATGCCAACTAACATTCATGAATTAATGTACCAAATTATCATTATTCTTTAATGCAATATACAAAATTTCAAATTTAATCTTATAGTAACATTAAACGAGAAAAACATTAATTTTATTATTATCGTTATACAATTATTTCAAATAAATCGAAATTAACATTTACATCAAGTATATATTTAAATAAAAATAATTAACAATCTAGATGAAAAATAAAGGTGATGAATTTCACCAGCAATTAAACTTTTCAATCGTTAAATAATGATTTATTATTATTTTAAGTTTTAAGAAATCATTTTCAAATCAAATTCGTAAATTTTTAAATTTTGGGCCTTTTAAGTTTACAACTGCAGGCATTATGACCAATGCTTTCTGCCATAACCACATGTATATTTTCCTTATCAGTAATGCCGTATGCTCTTTTATGAAGGTTAGTTAACATCATTTTATTGTATCTCGTCGTTATAAATGCTGAGCCTTATTATGATGTTTGGTAATAACATAGTTTAATGTGATCTTCTGATAAAGATTAGATTTTCATCCTTGTACTCAGAACGAACTTTTTAGCTTGTAAATATTAAATTTATTAGAATAGTTAAAATGTGTGATGTAAATGAATAAAAGATATTTAATACACGACTAATTAACATTCATAAATAAAATAAATGCTAGCGCTATTGCATATATTTTTATGCTAACCAAACACAGATCTAGAATACAAAACTGCGCAATTTTTCATTTGTTACGTGTACATATGCTGTAATTATAAATAAATCGAGCAGTTAGCGTTAGGTACCCCTTAAATACGATTCGTTCTGAAAATAACGGGCTTTGTACATATTGTTACGTATTACATTTATCACATGTACAGTACCCCAAAAAGTAACACCAGATTTAAAATTATATAGTAAAATACATACATGTATACAAATTTTTATAATTAAAACAGTACAGTTCTTTCAATTTAAAAGTGACATAAGTCTTGTTCATTTCAAAAATTAGCTTTAAAATGAATGATAAATTTAGAAATAGTTACTAATAGAAATATAGATATATACATGTATAAAGCGTAAGAAAATTTTTTTTTACTTCCAACTTGAAAATTTCCATTTTTTATGTTTTATTATACATGTACATGTATAAATTTGGGGTACATGTACATGTATAATCTGGGGGTACATGTATAATTTGGGGGTACATGTACATGTATCGGTACGTAGGTATTACGTATTTTGCCATAATCAACCTGTGTGACATTGCATTGTTAATTTTTTAATTTATCACCTTTGTTCATTATATTAAGTATCACATATTTATATGTAAATACTTATTTGTCACAGCGTCTCCATTTTTAGATAATACATGTAATTCCATGATTAAGTAAATTCGCACTGTTGAATTTGTTGGTTATTAGCCAAGCAGATTCGTATCGTTCAGTATGCAATAGACTCATCAGTGATTATGTTATCGTTATGTCTTATAATTAGATGATGCTTTTATTACATTTGTGATATTTGTGTGAAAAATGGGATGCTTTTTCTCTAGACGCTTTATTGAAGCGGAAAATGGAAAAATGAGGTTCCGCATTATCGATGGTAGACGATTTCATGATATTTCGAATTCAGAGTATTTTGTTCCGAATGATGATGAAGAAGCTGATCGTTTAGTTGGATTTCATTATGGTAAAAAGCTTTGTTTATAATATCGTGTTTTCCTTTATAGAAAATTTTATTAATATAAATTTCAGCAATGAAAGATATTTGGGGAGGATTATTTTATTCACCTGTTGAAGAAAAGTTAAGACAAGGGGCTCGTGTTATTGATTTAGGGTATGCTATTTTTTTTTTATAAAACACCTAATTTGAGTATACTATTTATGGATAATGTTTTTCATTATAATAAATAATCATAAGATGTGGAGCTGGAACTTGGATTTTGGTAAACATATTTTATTTTATTTTCTTTATTGAAAATGGCTACACTTGACTACTTTAAAATCAATATCGATATATTAATTCGTAAAAATAGGATATGGCAAAACAATATCCCTATTCAAAGTTTGTGGGAGTAGACTTATCTCCAATTTTTCCAACAGAAGGACTTCCTTCAAATGTGGAGTTTATCGAATACAATGTGTTGGATAGATTACCATATGAAGATTCATTTTTCGATTTCGTTCACCAAAAAATCATGCTTGCTGCGTTTACAGAAGCACAATGGGAAGAGAATGTTATCCCAGAAATGACAAGGTTAACTCGACCAGATGGATGGGTCGAGATATTAGAAGTTGCTGGTTATCTTGTCTCTGATGGAAACGCTACAAATAGAATTTCAGAAGCTTGTAAGCAATATCAATCTTTTTGTTTCTTTATGTCTTTAATTAAATATTATTCAATTTTGTTTTTTTAGTCCGAAATTTTTATACGTCGAGGGGAATGAACTTTGATATCTGGAAAGAAATTCCGCACCTTCTTGAAAACACAAACGCGTTTTCAGAAATTAGAAAGGAAACCAAAGCTATAGTTCTAGGCAAAAAAGGTGGCATACCTGGGCAAGAGGTGAATATGGAGTTAACGAATTTGTTTACAAAATACAATTATAAGCTTAATCTAAAAAATACTCTTTTCTACTTGCTTGCACATATAGACTCTAAGATATTGTACTGTTGGACTCAGGGCTTGCAGAAGCTTTTTATCAGCAGATATGGATATAATGCCCGAACATTATGATTCTCTTGTAGAAGTAATCTCTATTGAGGCGGAAAAAACTACTACTTATTATAATCAATACCGATATTGTGCTCATAAGAATATTTCAAATTAAGATATATTGCAACTTATGATTTTAATTTTCAAAGGAGAAAAATTATCAAATTAAGAAGTGAAAAGCTTACAATCTTTAAAGATATACTTTTTATGATTTTATTTTGTATTTTTATATTTACTTTTCCATTAGATTCACAATTCTACAAATTTTTATATTTGCAAGAATGCTTTTTCGGAAATTTGAGCACTTAGTGAATTTCTGCTTTCCATTTAAGTCACTCTTAATGTCTGTAGTTGTTTTTAGATTTTCTAAAGAGTTGTAGTGCCAAAATTGCAAAGCATTCATTTCATCGAACTCATCTATTTGTAGCTTTTTAAGACGCTCTTTTATTTCTTCATGTGTTTTTGGATATTCTAATTAGTACTGAAAATTCAAAGTATTCAGCTTCCATTTATTACTTGGTATCTTAGTTTGTACGTCATTATATATGTCTAATACACGATTATTATCATGACTACGCTCACAAAATAATTATTATAATTTCGTACATTATCATCCCAAAGCTATAAGTGTCTGCAGCTTTAGTGTATGGTTTTCAATTTAACACACGCCGTTAATTTCAGAGCTGGTAAATCCAAAATCGACAATTTGTACTAGGACTACAAATCCTTTTGATGAATTGTTATTGTTATTTCTTTAATAATATAACATATACTTATGTGCTAATACTTCCCAATTGCAGTCGTTGAAATTAATATATTTCCATAATCCATTACGATCAAGTATTTATTTGTAGCTAGGTTCTCAATTATTCCATAATAATTTAAAAGAAAATAATTCCACATTTTAGAGCAGTCCGAAGCCATTTTTACCTCGTTTATAAACTCTTCGAATTGTATAACGATTTCAACACAACTAAGATATTGACAGTCTAATGAAAGAATGTGTAAAATTTATAGATAAAATAATTCTTTCCAAAAGGCAGTTTTGGAACGATTTACAAAGCACGGTTACACGAATACATGCGGGTTCATGGAGAAACACTGATACACAGTTATTTTCGTTAGACCATTTATAGTACCATTCAAAAGTATCCGACCCCTCCTACTTTCTTTAAATCAAGCATAAACGTAAACTCATATAAATTTCCAAAAACAAAGAATACAAATGCTGATCATTGATAGATTCTACGTATATCGGGTATTGTATGTTCATAATTTATTCACGTCCAAAATATAATCAGTTATTTTATAACACATCTCAATCTTCAATAATTATAATCTAATTCTTAACATTCAATGACCCGATTCGTCTAGCCGAGGTGAATCGAATGGTAATATTTTTGTTCGAATCGGATCATCGGAGATTGAGATATTACATTTTAAATTAACCAATTCATTTTTTGACGATGAAAAATTGACAAATATAACTTGGTCACTTTAGGATGTAATATCGATATCTCGATCTCCAGTAATCCCATTCGAGCGAAAATACCACCATTTGATTTGCCTAGATTAGACAATTCGAATGGTATATAGTATTTCGCTCGAATTGGATCACTAAACATCGAGATGTTAATTGGGACATGAACGTTTACAATGCCAGATATAGAAACTCTATCAATCTATAAAAGTTATCAATGCTCAGCATTTGTATTATAGGAAGTTACGCATGATCTGAAAAATGTTAGGAGTGGTCAGATATATTGGGCGGTACTGTATAAAGTTGATAGTGATTTTACTACATACAAAGCAATAAATATTGTTTTAACGATAAGTAACTATGAATATAATACTCTCTAAGTGTACCATCTCCTCACTAAATATACCTTTGACCTAGGAGCTATAGTGCTAAGTACACACCTCTATATTCTACCTATTCACAAATTAAATTTTGTTTTACTTCTAGTAAAGAAGCTTAGAGATTTATAAATACAATCTATTGATATTATGTGCATTCGATTACTATTTAAAATAATAGAATCACAAAACATGGGATCAAATATTAGTAATGAGAGCATTTTAATATCCAGAACTGCACATTATCAGAGTTGTAACTTTTATAAGTCAAAAAATCTAATTTCTTAAGTTAATGGTCCAAATAGCACAGTTTTTATAACCCTGAATAGGCAGATTAAATTTGTATTTACTTATCACTTATCTATTGATGTTATGCGTCATAGAACTTGAAAACAAATTTATCACAACGATAATGCAGTACTATATAAAACCACTTTTTTCATCACAATAATATTCTATAAGTAATTCAATTTGTTTTCATTCATCATATTATTTATAATTGAGGTCCAAGAGTTAATAACAAAAATTAGTAAAATTACATAATAGTATTGATAACGAAAAGATGGCAAAATTTCTAGTAATTTATATGTTATAATTTTTAAATTCGATTAGATTAAATACAGTAAGGAAATAGAAAGAATTTTGAATTTTGTTATTTCAAAGTTTTAAAACTAAATAAGAAATTTTCAACTACCAATTCGAATAAATTTCTGCGAAATTGAAAGATTCAACTATTTCAGGAGCTCGATCACGTCCATTTTCTTTAGCCTTTTAATACCATTTTAAAGCTAAGTTGAGATTTTTTGACACTCCTATTTCATATTGATAAAATTTTCCGATATTGAATTGAGCTTTGTTATTTCCTGACTACTCTCAAGTACCAATCAAATGTTTTATTATCATTTTTATCTGTTCCTTCTCCATATTCATAACATTGCCTAAGTCGAAATTGTAAACGAGTATTATCACCGATTGCTAATTTTAAAATGATATTAAATAAGGCAGATTCAAATTTTTTATTTTCTTCATTTTTTTCATAACTAAGTCTCAGGATAAATTGGGCTCTGTCAATTTCAGACTCTGTAGATTTCAAATACCATTCAAATGCTTTTTGTTCATCTTTGATTGTTCCTTTTCCATCTGCATACCAATTGGCAAGATTATTTTGTGCTTGAAGAAATCCAGACTCTGCTGATTTCAAATACCATTCGAATGCTTTTTATTCATCTTTGATTGTTCCTTTTCCTTCTGCATACTGTTGCGTGCTACTATTTTAATCGGTCAAAGAGGGGTTTTTACGCAACTGGGATGAGAGCTAGACTGAATTAT